TGCCCGACGCGGAGGACGAAGCGGCGGCGGCGGCGGGCGGGACAAGGTCGCTGTTGGCGCCGCCGCACCGCTCCCCGCCGCCGTCGCACCCGGGTGATGCCGACCCGCTGCTGGTGAGCCGCGTGCCGGCGCTGCCGTCGGAGGCGGTCATGCGGCGGCTGCTGGCGGCGCCGCCGCTCAGCTACGGCGAGGCCCGCGGCAACTGGGGCGGCGGCGGAGGAGGCTACCCGGTGCGGGTGTTTTGCGCGGTCTGCGGGTATTGGGGACGTGTGAGGTGCTTGAAGTGCGGGACGAGGGTGTGCGCGCTCGAGTGCCTGGAGGCGCACCGCGAGGAGTGCGTGACGCGGTACGGGATATAAAGGGGGAAGGCGAGGAGTGCGAGGATGAGCATGGCGTTTTGTCTTGATACCCGATGTGCAGCATCATTGTTACTGTTTATGATTTAGAACGGAGTGGAGTTTGGATTTGAAGGCCTGTATCGAGTGCAGTGGTGTGAGGACGTGAGAGCCTGTATCGAGTGCAGTGGTGTGAGGACGTGAGAAGACTGGTATAAGGACATTGTTGAGTGAAGGGGTGGTCTCTCGAATTCTGTTCGTCGCCTGTTCAATCATGTGGCTGGTTATGCCATGACCAGACTCACTAGCAATTGATGGAATACTCTACAGTCAAGCTTTTGCATGTGATTTTCTGGTGAATTATAGAGAGGACAAAAAAAAAGAAATGGCCATTCATTCAGAATAAGCGGTACTTCACCGGATGCTTACATGACAGGGAGGGTTCCTGGTGGATGACTGGGTCCTCAAGGACGATTAGAGAAGTGAGTCGGTACTAGATACTCCGTATTTTCTCGGTCAATTCTCTATTTGGCAATGATTCCGTATAATACGCTGTCTACCCATTGAATCATGTAAGCCTGCCACGATCCGACTCATCTCCCTGCATATCAGTCACCACCGATTTCGGCACATTGACTCAACGCCTGACAAATAACCGCAGCAAATCTTATACACCTACAGCTTTTTATCAATTTAACATATTTCAAAGCATAGAATTGCCATGGTATATGACTGTCTCTTGTTCAACATCTCCATCGCCGAGGATCTACCGCGTGACTCCTAAGTAGCAACTACCCCACCTCCTCCCCCTCTTAGAAAAAGGTGTCTGTCTACCCCTCCAAAGACCTGAACCGTCTTGCAACAGCACACCCACCGCCTTTTCTCCCCGAATTGTCGCCCTCGTCTGCTCGCCATGTCGTCCGCAAAGGTTGACGCCGCTCAGGTGGCCGACGGGCCTGCCAAAGAGCTCGCCGTCCGGCCCAAGGAGAAGGCCCCCAAGCCCAACAAGAATGCCGGTCTCGAGGTACACAAAATACACACGATCAACCCTCCTGTCGTAGAAGAAGGATGCTGACAATCGATTGATAGCGCCCCGAACCCGCCGAGTTTATCCAATACCGTCTGGATCTGTTTGACAAGCTCAAGGCCAGACAGGATGCCGAGATTGCTGGTATGCGACGACCCGTTGACGCACAAGGACAGAGGATACGGGATGACTGACATTGGGATGATGCTGCAGCCAAGCCGCGCGAGGAAATCACCATTACCATGCCCAGTGGTAATACCACCAAGGGCACCTCGTGGGAGACGACCCCGCTGGCCATTGCCAAGGGCATCTCCAAGAGTCTGGTCGAGCGCACCGTCATTGCCCAGGTTGACGGCGAGCTTTGGGACCTTACCCGCCCGCTAGAGAAGAGCTGCAAGCTCGAGCTACTCGATTTCGATCACACCGAGGGTATGCGAAACGCCTCCCCATCTCCCGAACTTGGAACGACATTCTGACACCACCCTTTAGGCAAAAAGGTCTTTTGGCACTCGTCTGCTCACATCCTGGGCGAGGCCTGCGAGCGCCGCTTCGGCTGCTACCTCTGCAATGGCCCGCCCACCGAGAACCCGCCCGGCTTCTACTACGACATGGCCAACATGGACGGGTGCGTGTGCACGCGTGCGAAATCATGATGGGAAAACGCTAACAAGCATGCAGCCAGGTAGTAGACGACAACGACAAGAAGGCGCTCGAGACGCTCTCGTCGTCCATTATCAAGGAGAAGCAGCCCTTTGAGCGCCTGGAGATGACAAAGGACGAGCTGCTTGAAATGTTCAAGTACAGCAAGTACAAGGAGTATTTTATCCAGCAGCGTGTGCCCGATGGCACAAAGTCCACCGTCTACCGCTGCGGTCCCCTGATTGACTTGTGCCGTGGTCCGCACGTGCCCAACACTGGTAACGTTAAGGCTTTTGCGGTTCTCCGAGTATGTTTCTCACCAGACTTGGCCGTTGAAAGATACATGCTGATTTTGTGCAGAGCTCTGCCGCCTACTGGCTGGGTGACGCCAAGAACGAGTCGGTGCAGCGCATCGCTGGCGTGTCATTTCCCGACAAGAAGGCGCTCGAGCAGCACAAGACGTTCCTGGCCGAGGCAGCCAAGCGCAACCACCGCAAAATCGGAACCGACCAGAAGCTCTTCTTCTTTGACGAGGTGTCGCCCGGCTCGACCTTTTTCCTGCCGCACGGCGCGCGCATCTACAACACGCTCATGGACATCATCAAGGCCGAGTACCGCGCGCGCGATTTCCAAGAGGTCATGACGCCCAACGTGTACAAGTCGGAGCTGTGGAAGACGTCGGGCCACTGGGGCCACTACGCCGAGAACATGTTTACGTTTGAGGTGGAAAAGGAGCAGTACGGCATGAAGCCGATGAACTGCCCCGGGCACTGCAAAATCTTTAGCCACGCCGACGTCAACTACCGCGACCTGCCCTGGCGCATGGCCGACTTTGGCGTCCTCCACCGCAACGAGTTCTCCGGTGCATTGTCGGGCCTCACCCGCGTGCGTCGCTTCCAGCAGGACGACGCGCACATTTTTTGCACCGTCGCCCAGATCCGCGACGAGATTGTCGGCTGCTTTGACTTTCTCGACGCCATTTACGGCCTGTTTGGCTTCGAGTACAAGCTCAAGCTCTCCACGCGCCCCGAAAAGTACATTGGCGACGTGGCCGTCTGGGATATGGCTGAGGCCAAGCTCACCGAGGCCCTAAACGCTTTCACCACCAAAAATGGCAGCAAGTGGGAGCTCAACCCCGGCGACGGCGCGTTCTACGGCCCCAAGATTGACATTACCGTCTACGACGCCCTCCGTCGCGAGTTCCAGTGCGGCACCATTCAGCTCGACTTTAACCTGCCCAAGCGTTTCAAGCTGCGCTACGTGGCCGCCAAGGACGAGGAGGCCGCTGGTGGCGGCGACGCCGAGCCCGATTTGCCTGCTGGCTACGCCCGCCCTGTCATGGTCCACCGTGCCGTCCTCGGCTCCGTCGAGCGCATGTTTGCCATTCTTACTGAACACTTTGGCGGCAAGTGGCCTTTTTGGCTCTCGCCCCGCCAAGTCCTCGTCGTGCCCATTATGCCCGCCGTCAATGCTTACGCCACTGAGGTCCAGAGCGTCTTGAAGGCCAAGGGCCTCTACGCCGACGTCGACCTTAGCGGCAACACGTTTCAGAAAAAGATTCGCACCGGCCAACTGGAGCAGTACAACTTTATCTTTGGTAAGCATCGCCCCCATCCCTGCACGTTGTCTCTTTCCTACACCCTTGTATGGCGTACAGGATCACTTGTGACAAAAAATTCAAAACTAATACCGCGGGGTTGTAACAGTCGTCGGCGCCGAAGAGGAAAAGTCGCATACCGTCAACATTCGCAACCGCGACGACCAGGCCACGCAGAGCAAGGGTGAGCTGATCCCCCTGCTGCAGGCGGTGGAGCGGATGGTCAAGCTCAAGGAGGAGAGGAAACGCGTCGAAAAGGATTAAGAGATGACAGGGCTATATATATGTCGTGTGTATAGAGGAGATTGTGGGTATTTTATGAAATTTTTCTTCCTGTTTTTTACGATTAACAAAGGAAGCAGGTAGGTAGGACCATTTATAGCATGTACGGAGTAGTGATGAGGAAGGAAAAGAAAAGTTTCAAATACAAGTGGAAAAGAGAAGCAAACCCAGCATGAAGTTTGATGACCTTGTTAGTCGCATTATTCTGTCCCCATTTCCTTTCTGTAACTACAGCGGCATGTATATTCGGGACTGGCGGAAATGCCATTCCGCCTTCAGAGTAATCCGTACGAAACGAGCTTGTTGCAGGATTGCGAACTAACTAGTGAAAAAGTGATCGTTTGATCCTGCGAGGGCATGTGAAACAAAAAAGCAACAAGCATACCAGTAAACGAGGGCAAGACAAAAGGGCTACATATGGACGCTACACAGCGTCGGGAGAATACGGGTTCAAGCCTCGAACGGTCATTGGGCCGCAACGGTTGTAGATGCCCGAAACAGGTAGTTTAAGTAGTAAAGTGACACTCTCTGTGTCAGCCAACCGTTTGCGTGTGCCCTCTTTTGTGTGTGTTCTGCGCAGGAAAAAGAAAGCACACTTGAATACCTGTACGCTGGGTAAACTGCCACTAACAGGCCAGAAAGGGGGGGGGGGGGCGTGTTTGTGTCTTTTTGATTGTCTTGTGGCGATCAAGGCGATGATGGGTTGTTAATGGGGCAGGGATTGGCGAGGAGTTCTTGTTCCTTTTTTTCTTTTTTTTTTTCTTTTTCTTTCTGTGAGAACACAGCGGCGGGTTCCGAACGGAAATCGAAAGGAAATCCTCCGCAGGGAATAATTTCATGGAAATTCATCTAGGTTGGCGTCGATGAATTCCCAGTGATGCCCAGTTGTTGTTGGGTGTGTGCCGTTCGGGATAAGAAATGAAGCCCTTGCCTTCGCTAGTTCATAGCCTCATTTATGATAATAAAGGGAAGACATAAATGACCGCACAAGTTCAAATAATCTGATGATCAAGAAGCCATCTACCACGCCTCAACGTCGGATGAGCTCGAATCCGTGGGGCGAGGAACGGCGGGGAGGGGTGTGGCGTGAGTGGCGCAACAAGGATCCAGAAGTCAGGATCCTGATGGAGGGGGTGCTGCAAAGGCTTCTCCCAGGTGCCTCTCGAAATTTTGGTGCATGGGCGGTTCCTTCACTGGCGGGCAGGACTTGCTGCGCCGTGTTCAACGGTGCTGGAGGGGAGGACCGCACGGTTTTGGGGTGGTACCTACAGCGAGAGCCGGGATCCAGCTGCAGCACCGTTGAACGAGTCCTTGTAGTTTCTTACAAGGGCGAGAGGCTGGTAGCTAGATCGAAATCGCTGCAATAGATCCAAGGGGATGAGCCAAAGCATCTGTCGGGATGCGAAACGGACTCGGGTTTGCGCTGCTTTGTAATGATGGGGTGTCTTGTCGCACATACACACCACTCGTTCACATCACCTCGGCATAATAAAGCACATCATGTATACATACAGACACCGAGGTGCAGAGACTGGCCAAGAGTCGTTTCATTGCCTCGCCATGAACTGGCTGCAGATTCTTAAGCAAAGTGGTGGCGATAGTGGGCTGGGTAAATATGTAGCACAGAGTTGGTGATGTGTCACATCACCACGCTACCTGATTGCTATGCTTGCTGTACGTAACGTTCATGCCATGTCGCACTGCCAACTCGGAATGTTTGCTTGGGTTGCCTGGTGTAGGTCGGATACGCTGCGCTGCACTGTGATGGCGGTATCACAGAGCAGTACGGAGTAATAGCTTGCGCGTCAATGGCAGCCATCTCTTGTCCAAATTGTCTAAATTGAGAAGGACAACAATCTGGTCCTGTCAGACATGATATGTGAGGAGTCGGTGGGAGTGAGCCCGTGATTCGCCGCCGCGGCGCCTGCTTGATATATGACGAGGGCGGCGGCGCAGAACCCTGTTGTTATCAAATCGCATCCTGACTTTTCGATGTACTCTACCACGGCATTTCCAACCCTCCGGCCTAGAGGCCTAACAGTAGCGGTCTGCTGTTTCTTGATTTCCGCCCACGCATCCCCTGGTCGGTGGGCTGACTGGGGGCGTGCAGACACGGGGCGCGGATAGATCATCTATCACAAAATACCAAGACACCACCTGTAGCGCCTAGAACGGGACCAGAACAATTGGAGCGTTTTCGGCACCGAGCAGCAATTGAGGCCAAGTTGATGCCTGCCCTTGCTATTCCAAGCTCTCATGGGCAGACATCTATTTGATATGTCGGGAAGGACAGTGCTCGAAGCTATCGCTGGGCTTCACAATCTACCTTTGCGTGCCTGCATGCCAACTTGCCGAAATCTCGGGCATTGCCGCTTCGCCGGGCCGACTGTTTCAAATTGAGTTGCGCAAAGGAAGGCCGTTGACGGGTTTATATAGCGTATTCCATGGCCGAGGCGGACACGCGTAAATCTTGGAGACAAAGCTAAAAAGTCTGCTTATCCATCGCAAAATGACTGCTCGACAATGATTTGCGACGTCTGGACCGGCCCCAGTCTGTTGGGTGATTTGCTGTGGGCACGAATCCACACGATTCATATGGCGCGGGGAATGCAGAGTCATCAAGTATATGTATCAGAGCCTGCGTGATCGAGATAACGTCTGTCAGGGGACGGGGGAACAGAACGCGACAAGAGCCTAGAAAGCCCGCTGACATTGCGAGTATGTGCTAGCTGCCTCTGACGGCGACGGCCATCCAGCGTGACAACAAGACTACCGAGGGACATTTGTGTCCCTCGGGCAAGATTTGACGAGCCCGCAGAACGTGGCTTGAAGATGAACTCCAGCCCAGACTACAGGCGGCGCCGCCCAGCAGTTAACAGTGTGGTCAACAACAGTCCACTACCAGTCTAAGTTCCCTACCGACCAGAACTACCACACACCATCGCTCCATCTCCACAGGCGAGGCGCCACTGGACTGGAGGATGGGACGTGTCAGAAACGAGGCAGGCGTCCTGGCTCGATAGCGGGCCCGCACTGGCAATATGATGTGTAAGTTTTGAGGTGTTTCTTTGGCGGCCCTCGGGCACCCGCGTGTTTGGGCCGAAAGAAAGCAGGAAACGAGCTGTAAACAGGGCTTGGCAGCACGCGAGCAGTTCCCGATCGCTGAGGACTGGTGGCGGACTGCAGAAGATGCGTGCGGGCGTCGTCTGGTGTGTGAATGGCTTCTGTCATGAGGACGACGGACGGCGATGCTGTGGGCTCTCTCTGTGCTCGGCCCGCAGCCTAATAAACGACGATGCAGGATCGTCCCTGGTGCAGTCGTGGTTGGCCTCTACGGTTGGCGCTCGAAATAGCACACAGTTGTGTTGATAATTATTAATTAAGTACTCCGTAATTTGTAGAGAGCAGGACGGACAGCGTCGTGGAGCTTCGTTTTGGAGGTGCATAGCGCGGTCCATGGTGTGGCAGCTGCACGTAAGCCATTGCTTGCATTGCGCGGACGGACAAAATGCACCGCCGATAGACGGGGTCATTCTTTTTTCGCCACCGAAGCCAAACAAGCAGTATTCGTACCAGGTAGCAGAGCACGGAGGTGCTGAAAGGACTGAGTTGACCGACCATCGTCGTTCAAGGCCCGCCACGGCACTTGCACACTTGCATCCAGCCAAAAGTCAGACCAGGATATTGAGTAGGACAAACTGAGGGGTGCAACAGTCGAGACTCAATTGTCAAGGTTGTCAGCACAAGCACGCATCGACTGGTAAGCCGGTCGCCGTTTGATTTTCCTGTTATTGGAGGCAGCCGAGGCTACTGGTAGAGTCTGGGGTGACACCTGGCCACTTTGTCGGGAGTAATTTGTAGGAAGCAATGCAACAACGCAACAACGGCAGCCGATGCCGAGCACGAGTAACGATGGGGAGCGTGGCGAGGGAGCGAGGGAATCTGTACAAGTGTCAAGTGGCTCGATCAGCTGCTAGGTTCTGAGCCGGGGTGGTGACTAGTTGCTCGGAAGTCTGCTCGAGGCGATTATCTGATTCCTGGCGGCGGCTTCCAACCGCTGCATCGGGGGATTTGTAGAATCTGCATGCTTCATCAACAAGGCGACCACCAAGGCCTGTTCGTTTGGAGGGGGGTGGTGACGATTGGTGCCCGTACAAGGCTGTCATGTCAGTCAGCTGCAGCGTGTCCGTATGGATGGGAAGGTTACGTGTCTCTTGATGGTTATATCAGCAACACTTATCCAACCTTTTGACTTGATATTTTCGCATGGACAAGTTGAGGTAGGCGGTCTAGCGGTGGAGGTGGAGAGCGGAATGAAGGCAGGAGAGAGTTCTCCGTACATACAAATTAGTAGGTACAGATAACGAGCGGGTGTGTGCGGACAGGTAGGTACAAATTACAGGTACCGCATACAGTGAGTGATGTTGACTGCCGTTGGTCGCTCCGTTCTTGCGCAGACAAGAGCTGTGGTATACTAACTACTAGGTATCAGTAACTACTCCATACATACTTGGCAGTGTTACAATTACAGTGGCCAAAAACCGGCACACCCTATTGCTCTGGGTAATTCGTATTGTCAGGCACTTGTTAACTAGGAACAAGGTCCCAAGAACTACCCCAATACGCCTCTTGGCCGTCCAGCCCCTGCCCTGGACAATTGTGCAGCAACAAAGCAACAAAGCAACTGTGGCTTTTTGTGGCAGAGTGCAGGGAAATACTTGGCTATGCCCCTGCCTTGCCAGCATCAGTACCAGTCAGTCAGAATTAATGCAGGCTCCCTACTAAGGTAGCGTCCGTTCCTCTCAACCCCACCCCCCCCCCCCCTCCTCCTAATACTGGTGCCTCTTTGACCTCCACCCTCGTCCCGACTCCCCTCTCGCTTCTCCGACAGTATTACTTCAACAGAACGTCGATTGCCCTCCTTCTCAACTTCACACCACCCCTACCTATCAGACTATCAAACGCACACACACTTTGGCACAATCAACGCCTCTTCACGCCCGCACGCCTTCACACCTTCCCGCAGACTCCCCCACGGCAATCCAAGACATCAAAAAAGAAACCCTGCCCGCCTCACCTCACCCCAGCCAGTTCTCGTCCCAACGCCATCACTAGCATCCTCCTTTTCCCTTGACGAAACGGCTTTACACATCTTCCACCAAGAAACGCTTGTCGCACGCCACGAATTAATTGCTTGACACATCCTCGCACCACCAAAGCACCGACTTCGCATCTTTCCCTTGTTCTACTCGATAGTATTTAGCGGCGCGGCCACCTGGCTCTCGTGGATGTCGACCTCAATCCTGCCCGAACGACAACCGCAACCAACTCTGACCATCCTTCCTGCCGTATGACATAAAGCCATTGCCTGTCCCCGTTTTCAGTTCTCGGGCTGCTCCATCCCCTCTCGGCCATGCGACCTTCGTCATCGCATAGCACTTGTGTGCCGCCCGACGACTCTCAACAGGATGACGGCCAACCCTCCTGCCGACGTTCCCGCCTGCTAAATCACCACGCACACGACTCTGATTCCGACTTTTCCACCACCAGCAACCACCAGTCACTGCCGCGGCACCGCCCTTCTTGCCCTCGTCTTGTATCTTGCCCTGCTGGCGCCTCATCAAAAGCTAATAGCGCTGTGCGCATGACAGCCTCCTCGGCAAATGGGCCTGGGACGCCTTCCTCTAGTCGCCATTCCCCATCGCTACAACCGTCATCACACTCGCATCACAATCGTCAATCAGACGTCGAAATGTCCGACAGTGACGCCTCAGAATTCGACGCTGAATGTCGTGTTGGTGGCGCTCCCCTGGCGTTGGGGGCCTTGACCCGAGCCCACCAAGCCACCATCATGCCCACACCCGATCCCGATCCAGAATATCTAGCCCATGCAGACCAGGAAGAGTACGACGACAGCGATGATGAATATGACGACCAAGATGAAGACAGTGACGACGACATGCAGCCTCCACACAATCACATTGGCACCGGGCCACCCATGGCTGCGCCCTTGCTCCCGCATTTCGACACTTCGTGGATCCTGCAATACTCCACTGCCCATATGGGTGTTGACCAGCCACCGATGCCAGTCCAACCAATGACTTTCAGTATGCCTGCTGGCCCTACCGACCTTGCCAACTTGCCGCCGCTCCCGCAACCACCACCTAACTGGGTCCCTTTACCGGCATTTATCACCGACCAGACTCTGGCCATTAGCAATGCCATTCCTAGTATACTCGGATCCGAAAACCTTGACTTGGGGGATTTTCTGCGTGACTGGGCCTATCAAGGCCGCTATGGTCGTGCTGGACTCTCGCAACCCCCTGCCCTCGAAGAACTCATGCGCCAAACCCAAGAGCAGCCTGAAGAGGTCGAATTTGCCCAGCTCAAAGGCGATGAGTACGACTTGCAAGGTCTAAACTGGAACTCCATGGAAACTACACGCAAGGCTGCCCGATTGCGACGGCAATATACCTATAGAAATTATGTCAACAGAATGGGCTCCGACAAATGGATGGCAAGTATCCTCTCAATTTCTCAACAACTCATTTCTAAGAAATTCTCACTGTAGGCACCGCACGAACCGCTCTCTTCTCGCGAGAGCTTCTACAGATTCAAGAGAATGAACATTCGCAAAGACGTCTGCCTCGCTCACTTTCAACTTCGCAGTGTTCTCGCCTGCCCAACCCGCACCCATGCCTATTATCCAACACCACAGGGTATTGCACGAATGAACCTGGCATCAAGGAAATCCGAAGTCTTCATGAACACTCGCGACTTCCCGGCTGCCGGAGCTGTCATTTCGACCGTTGATGCCGATTGCGGCGTCCTAATGTGTGGCACCTTTAATGGCGAGTATTACATCAAGAGCCTTGATGCTCCCGAAAAGCAAGATTATACAGAGGGTCAAATCACTTCCGATCCTGGCGGCATCACCAATCACATCAAAATTCACAAACCACGACGTTCTTGTGGGCCTGCGGCTGCCATCGCGAGCAACGACCACGGTTTCCGACTGCTTGACCTGGAGACACAAAAAATCGTGCAGGAAACGAAGTATCCGTTTGCCCTCAACTGCACAGCTGTATCCCCCGATAGACGACTACGAACTGTGGTGGGCGATCATTTCAATGTTCTGATCACGAATGCCGACACGGGCGAGGTGTTGCAGGAACTTGGTGGCCACCGCGACTACGGCTTCGCCTGCGACTGGTCTGACGACGGCTGGACCGTGGCCACAGGCTTCCAAGACATGGCCGTCAAGATCTGGGACGCCAGGCGCTGGTGCAACTCAAGCGGCGTCTCGACGCCGCTGTGTACAGTCCGCACCAAGATGGCGGGGGCTCGTAGCCTGCGCTTCTCTCCTCTCGGGAGCGGTCCACCTGTGCTGGTTGCGGCCGAGGAGGCTGATTTCATCAACGTCATCGACGCCAAGATGTTTCACTACAAGCAGGAGATTGACATCTTTGGCGAGATTGGCGGCATTGCGTTTGCCAATGATGGCCAGGACCTCAACGTACTGTGCTGCGACACGCAGCGTGGTGGCCTCTTACAGCTGCAGCGCTGCCGTGGCCGACGCAACTTCATGCGTACCTATGACGAAGAATCCATGGCGAACCGCCACTCGTGGCTTCCAGACACCGACACGACACCCGCCATGCACAAAATTCCTCCATTATTTTGATTTCATGAGCATACCTCATCTATTTTTATCCCATCACCACCTATACCCCTTGGATGGCGCAGTATACGAGAATGTATACATACTTTTTTGCATCGATTCCGGCGTTTTGTTGCTTTTTAGCCCCCCTTCATTCACAGGATGGGACGAGACTTTTACGACGCGACGTCGCTGGAGAAAAAAAAACTCGTTCCTTCCTCATCTGCATCAACTTATGGGAGCGATTATCGGATGATTTCTATACAGCGGGTTTATTATTTTGCCGCTGTCGCCCGAGCATTCCGGCAAAGCAGTCACTGACGGAGCGCAACTGGACACCAACGTGGCCAAACTGCCATCGGTGTTGGTGTCGCTGGCAGTTTGGACACGTTGATGTCGAGTTCCGCTCTGTCGGTGACTCAGTCTCTTTCGCCAGCATGCTCGGGCGACAGCGGCCTGGGGTGGCCAAGCATTTTTGTTTACTCTAGACTTTTTTTTGGTTGCATCAAACGTGTCAAGATTGAAGGCAATGTGGTGAATGTCGATCTCTCTCAGTGTAGAAGAATGAGTTTTCAATTGGAGAAAAAAATATCAGATTCATACCCGGCCAGCTTAGGAGGCGGCCTATTTTCTTCCTTGTGTACTTTTTTGAACCATGAAACCGAGGGTTGTGTACAACCAGTATGTTGACTTGTCCTCCCTGGCTGCTGGGTAAGTCTTGTTTTGCTGACCGTTTGATATGCATTTGTAGCATCCGTTTGCCTGCCCTTAAGGCAATAACAAAAAGGAGAAGAAAAAAAGAAGAAAAAAAAAGTCGAATGACAGTTGGCATATGCAAGGGGGTGCACACGCGGGCCGTAGAAGAAAAAATCAGTTGATATTGGAACACACGCGAGAGAAGGAAGGCTAAAAATAAAGCCTGGGCGGGGTTTCATCTACAGAGGGAAAAGAAAAAGGGAGATGACCAAGAAAAAAAAGGAAAAAAAGGGAAACAAGACAGGACCCCTGCGACATGTACATAACTAGTCCGCCTTTTTTTGGTTGTCGAGTTGTCTTGTCACCTTGCATGTGAGCGGTAGTTGCTCGGTAGTCGGAAACGCCACGATGCAGCCGCCCGTCAAAAGGGGGCGGTATCGAGACGTGCAGCCAGGTACGACAGCACAGGCCCGGTAACGTAGCCAATGGAGATGAGGTGTGATGAAAGAAGTAAATTAATTTGACAAAGTCATTAGAATCATGCTCAAAGCCAACTCTTCCACGAACATACATGACAACAGTGCGGAACCCATTGGGAAAAAAAAAAGTTTTATATGTATAGAACTTGACGAGGCTGTTCCCCCATTATACAATATCGGCAGCAAAAATAAAGTATCCAGAGGTAATGTGCAGGCTGCTGCGCTCTTATAAACAAGAAAAAATTGCGCACGACGTTTTTTTGATCCTGCCCGCGAGGGAGGATGAGGGACGTAGCAGGCATGTCAATTATGTGCTTTGGCCGGTAAAGGGCAACTGGTGTCTTTCTTTTCCTTTTAGTTGTATTTACTGGGAGAAGTTGAAGATGGCACCGAGACCCCAGCGCTGGTCAGCCTGGGGCTTCCAGCCCTCGTTGTCAAAGGAGAAGAAGACGGACGCGTCACCGCAGGTCTTGCGGATGGAGCTAATGGCCTTGGACTGGTCCGCGGCACCGGGGCAGGCCTTGCCGTTGCAAGCGCCATCGTTCTTCCAGCCAGTCTCAAGGTTGATGACGTTCTTGCCGCAGATGCCCTGGAGAATGTCCATCTGGCCCTTGACAAAGACACCGGCGCCCGAGGCGTCGACGTTGGGGTTGAAGAAGGCGTGAATGTTGGCGCCGACAACGTCGACAAGGGGGCACAGGCTGTCAGCGACATCCTGGCGCTGCCAGATGTTGAGCGTCTCGGCAATGGTGACGGGGCCCTGGTAGCCGGAGCACTGGGCCTTGACATCCTTGATGAGCTGGACGAGCTCAGAGGCGGAGCAGATGCCGTTCATGATGGACTCGTTGCTGACGACGAGCAGGCGGATGGCATCCCAGTTGTTCATGGCAACGAGGTCATCGACCTGCTTCTTGACCTCGGGGGTGTTGATGGAGCACTGCTGACCGGGCTTGACAAAGACACCGGCAATGATCTGGAGACCCTGCGAGACACAGGCGGGGACAACGTTGACGAGGGTGTCGCAGTCGGTGCCGTAGATACGGACAGCCTGGAAACCGGCCGCCTTGATCTGAGAAATGTCCTTCTTGACCTGGTCGCCGGACTTGCAGTTACCGGTGGCGCTGTCGTACGGGCCGTAGGTAATGGCGAAGTGATCGTTAGTGCCCTTGACCTCAGTCTTGCTAGTTCCAGGGGCGGCGGGAGCAGAAGCGCTAGGGGCAGCAGAGCTCGGGGCGACCGAGCTAGGAGCGACCGAGCTGGGGGCAGCAGGGACAGGGGTAGCAGTGCTGACGGCAGGAGCAGGGACGGGGGTGCTGATGGCAACGGGAGTAGGCGTGGCGGTGGGGAGGCCGGAGCTGGTGAAGGGGCAGACGGTCACGTAGTCGGTCACGGTGGCGGTCACGACAACCTCGGGCTTGGTGTAGGTGCCAGGAGCAATGACGGTGGGCGTGGGGTAGACAATGACAGTCTCGGTGGCGATGGCGGTGGTATGGGCACCGATGGTGTAGGTACCGGCGGTGGGGCAGACGTACTCGGTCAGGCTGATGGTGCTGGTGGCGACGCCGCCGTTGGTGACGACAGTAGCGACGGGGCAAGTAACAGTGGTCAGGGTCGTGACAACAGTCGTGACACCGCCGACGGTGTGAGTACCGGCGGGAACCTTGGTGGTGGTGGCGCCGCAGACGGTGGTGGTGTCAGTGACGGTCATGGTCGTGGCCGGGAAGGTGTATGTGCCGGGGGTAGGGCAGCGCTGGACCTCGGGGGTAGGGACGACGACGACGGTCTTGGTCTGGACAGGGACCGAGACCGAGGTAGGGCTGGGTGTGATTGTGACGGTTGAGGTGTTGGTCGAGGTCGAGGTCACGGTGGTGACGGTGACAGGGACGACTGGTGCGTGTTAGTCTGGGGCGGTTGTTTTTGGCGACGGAGCCCGTCTTGAGGGGGGAGGGGAGAGAGGCTGGCGCGCAACATACGGGTGGCCTCGCCGGTGATGGTCTTCCAGATGGTGGTGCAGCCGGGCAGGCAAACCTCGCCGGTGGCGGCGATGGGGAAGCCAGTACTGGCAGCATGGCCGCGCTTGGCAAACTTCTGGTGAGCGTGGCGGTGGTTGTTGGCGCTGGCGGCACCAGCCATGGCCGCGGCGGCGGCGAAGAAAGTGGCCTTCATGGTGAAAGTGGGAAACCTGTTCGAAGTCGTGAAAAAGAAGTAAAGAAAGAATGCCCGCTAAATGAGTGAAGCGGTAAGAGAGGATAGAATAGAAGTCAACGAAAGGACGAAAGGCTGCAAGGAGCTTTCAGGTACGACCTCGAATTGGATGGACGGTTCGTAAGGAGGAGGAGGGAAGAAGTGAGAAGATCAAACGGAAAGGCGGCAGGTGGGCGACTATTATTATTTCTTCTGGACCGAGCGGCGGCGAGGGCTTGGTGCAGTAGCGGCGCGCCTGGGTATCAGCCATTTGCCCCCAGTTCCCATTCGCATTTCACCAGAACCTTGGCTTTTGGTCTGGCAGCCGGAGCAGGGGTGGCATGGAGGAGAAGTGGGTGTGCAGGGTGTGCAGCCCGTGGTTCACGAATCCTGTGGTCGGAGCAAACGGATCCATGCTTGGTGTTGTGCCTCGTGTCCCACTTGGTTCTGCCGCCAACCAAGCAGGCCTACCAGTCACTATGGACAAAAGACATGGGCTGGCAATGGGTAACGGCCTTGCCAAGGTGCTAGTTATTAGGTAGGTAGTTACCGTGCTCTGGAACTGGAGACAGCATTCGCGAAGCCTTCAAGAGTCCAATTAGGGGGGTGGACCGCCTGCTAATTTGCCGTTTGCCGCCACGCAAAAGGGGGCTTCCTCGGTAGCCTGTGGTACGAAGAAGCCTGTCCGCTAACTAGTTACTGCTGCAGATTGCGCTGCCAACCTCTCATTGCGACTCTCAGGAGGCGCTCAAATGAATGGCTGGCCGTCGTATTTGCTGGGGAAATGAGATGGATCGAGCTGGTTGTGTCCCCTTTCGACGGTCCGTATCGAACGAACCGTAATCCGTACCGCGTAATTCGTACCGGTAGTATGTACATATCTTCCCTGCTCTTTGTTTTTGAGTCCCCTATTCACCTGTTTCGCCTCTGACCGCAACACTCGTCTCCCCATGTCCCCCTATCGACCGCCCTTTGTACCTCCTAGGTAGGTACCTGGTGGGAGGTAGGTATCCGTAGGTAGGTTATACAGGTTATACAGTGTTCTTGTCAGCCCGAGACCCATACCATTGTTAGCGTGCCCAATGAGGCAAGGTTCAGGAACAGGTTTCGCCCAAGCGTCCAAGGCGGTGCTCTATTGGGTAAGGATCCCCAGACAATCCATCGTAGAGCATGAATTTTTAATTAGGTAGTGGGACTGGACTCTTAGTGGCGGCTTTGTTCCTATGCATTATTTTCCATAATTTATAATTTCTCGCTTGTGCTTGCTGGTATTATTCGCTTTGGAGTACTATTATTAATTACCTGTAATAGTTAGTCTTTCGTCTTGAGCCGCCCCAGACTGTGAGACGGTACAGCGTTTTGATGCAATACCAATACCAATGAGCGACGTTTCCACCTCGCGCCATCGATCGAGTTTTCCGATGTGGCTGCAAAGGAGAAAATCCTGTGCTCCATTGTCACTGTTGATTTGCAGCTTCTCGGCGCTGAATACCGGTGAAACCGAGCTACAGCGTTGACTCGAAAGCCTCGCATTCTGGTTACTGTACCAATTACAAATTACCCTGTAGTTACTTTCGTCAACGTCAAGTCCTTTCCATCTGCCCGCGCGTGGAACCCCAAGTGCAGATTTTGCACAGAATTTCCCTTCACCGTCGTTGCCGTCCGACAATCCGAGCCGGGGTGCTGACTGTGGCTTGTTATTCTCCGGCACTGCCACGCTATATTTGGCACGGCAATTACTGCGCCTGCCATTTTGCTCCCTTTACCGCTTCGCGACAGACTTGCGCTACTATCGCAGGTTTTCTTGTCTCCCACCGTTGTCGTGTCATGTGCCCAGGTGTGCAGAGCGCGTCCAAATTCCCATGTCCTCAAATCGCCACCCGCCAACCCTCGGCACCATCACTGTCGAGACTCGGTACATATTCCAACATAACAATGGAACTGACTGGAAGCTAGCGAGACATCAAGCCCGTACCTGCGTAAGCGCCCCACACAGAGATGCAAGGTCGAAATGAGACCATCTGTCTGGTACAATTACAGCCGATTCGTCAAACTAACTAGCTAACTAGTTAATACCGGTCAACTCGGGCACCGCGTACTGAGCTGGGCTTCAATTGTCGGGCGCAAACTGTGACGGCTGTTCGCGCCCGTTGACAGCCTGACACTGGAATGAACTCCCCCGGACATTTTGCCTGCAATCACCATCGCCATGCCATGCTAGTCTCCGATTAAGACCCAGCCGCCCCTGATCTTCGTGCCAGCGAAAGTGGCTCTTTGGTAGCCCGGTCGAGAATCGAGAATCCCGTCCGGGTATTATCGCTGTAATTATCAGTAGCCAGTGATAAGGAGTGGCCCCTTGTACCTACGTGTTTCTTCATCTGCATCTTCGCCTTGCCATCACCCTATGAAACATGTCAGCCGTCCGCATCCACTTCAAATATAACCAAGTCGTAATTCGTACTCCGTACAGATTACTGCTGATAGTTCGACAAATAGTTACATAGACCGCCTGTGCTCAGGGGCAAAGTGCGCGGCCACGCCAGGCGAGGTTTTCGAGTATAGCTACTCACAGAAGAAAGCAGCCATCGCAATTTTGCTGCAGTTAAACAAGTAGAAATTTGATTGAGACTATGAGACTAAAAACCTAATTGCCTGTTATCGGTCGACACAGTTGCAGCTTGCCATTCACAAACGCGAAATTTCGTTGTCACGTGATCTCGTGTCGTCTGATGCATTTTGCGGGTAGATTTTTTGACGACATGCTAACCCATCTCCTATGAGGCTAGGTCATACTATTGGCCAACTCGAAATGTTACGCATCTCTGGAAGGCAATTCCGTTGCCGGACATGTAGTAATATATCCTTTCCGCCATCATGGCGACCCGGACGTGCGAAATCGCCATACCTGGTGACACACTCAGGAGTACGTTTACGCCGGAGCTCCGTGCCACAACAATGCTAACTTTTTCTAGAAATGCTTTGCAACACGTGCGAATGAAGAGAAGAGCCACAGGTTCGGAAAGAACAACATTCCATCTACCCTAATTCTTAACCCAGAAAGCATTCCCGAATTACCAGTGAGGGAACGGCTGCAGTACTGGGTGCAAGAGAATGACAGCAAAAAGGCGCCAAAGATGCTTTCAGACGCCAATCTTTACGGCACCATGTCCAATAATATGAGTCGCACTCAGGTCTCGAAAGCCACAAATCTGAGCAACCTAAAAGCTGGGCCAGTTGGTTCCCAAACTGGCTCTGCCATGGAATTCAATCTTGAGCGTGATGAGCATTCAATTGTGGGCACAGATACAGCGAAACCGGGCGATCTAGTTGAGCTTCGAACTTCCGGCTCTCGCATGCCACTTTTGGCAATCTATCTCGGCTACTATGGAGAGCGAAACCACTTCTACGCTTCCAACGGTAGCTGGAATATATCTCGAGGCTTCTCTTCGCTCTTTACCGTGTCAAATTTTGTCAAGCCCGCAGAACTGAAACCCGTACTATCGCAGCTATCGGCAGATTTGACTGTCGAAGACTTTGAAAAGATGAAGGAGGAGGAAAGCGGGCCGTCGCGAGAAGATGCCAAAGTCTTGATCGAGAAGATGGATGCTTTTCGGGCCGAGGCCGAGGCTGCCTATCAGCGAAATCTAGCAAGCCTCGACGCTGCACACAAGGTACTCTCTTCTACTAATCGTGTTCGCTATATGAGTTTGTTCCAGATGGCCAACGCGCTGCTTCCCGAATCGATGCAAGTGGATGGGGAGGTCCCGACAGCAGCCCTGTACGCTGTGCATTTGGCCTTGACCCGCCATGAATTCGGCTTCCAGCCCATCAGCTCCTCTCGTGCGCTCCACAGACGAGATCAGCTATACGAAGTCTTCCCACCTGACCAGACTAGCATCGTCGAAAAGGTAGCCCTGCTGGTGCGACAATACACGGTTGTCATGTCCAAGAGTATGCTCACAGGCAGCGAAGCCGAGTTAAGCAAAACAGCATTGAGCAAATTCATTGACCAGGCCCGCACGGCTGTGCAAAACAGCCGCAAGATCCGCGATATTACCCCGTACGGAATTTTGAAGCCATCCAATGGCGGTACAATCCCTAAACTGGAATGGATGCCTGTTAGCAAAGATGTGATTCAATTTCTCGAGCTTTGGGCAAGCTATGGGCTCTTTGAATCAAGTGCAAGACTGCATTCCAACGGGGCCATGATCTTGAGGGCACTTGGGGTGTACGACAACATGCCCCTCAACCAGTCAACGGCATGGACATTTCTGCAAGAGATTGGGCACATCATGCCGTGGGAAATCCCATCTCGGTACAAAGTGCGTTTTCCTGGCACCAAAATCGTGCCGGGCGCAGGATTGAAGCGTGATGAGCCAAGCATTGAGGCGTCGAGGAGGCCCGATATTGCGGCCGGCGCCCGCCAAGATGTTACTGCTCCAGTGTTTTGCATCGATGGCACGAGTACAAGGGTAATTGATGATGGCATCTCGGTGGAACGGACTGGCAATAAGGACGAGTTCTGGATCCACGTACACGCAGCTGACCCGGCATCTGGCATCAAACCAAACTCGGAACTTTGCAAATACATGGAGCTTATCCCGGACAATATTTATCTTGCTGGCCACTTTCAAGCTATGCTGCCAGCTGAGCTCGGCAGCGATGAAGGCGACTACGCATCGAAGAGCCTCGTGGAGGAGTACTCTTTAAAGAAAGACTGTCCAGCGCTTACTTTCAGCGCCAAGGTGAACCGTCGTGGCGAGGTGCTCGACTACAAGATTGAGCCGAATACGCTGCGCAACGTTGTCTACATGGAGCCAGAGGACGTATCGCGATTCTGTCTAGAGCCACGTCGGAAACTTGCACAAGGCACAGAGCTAGCGGTAGGAGAAAAACGAGCAACTTCCGACGTTGAACCCGGGCGCAAAATGGTACTCGCCAAAGATCTAGACCAGGCGCAGCAAGATGACGTGCTGCTACTTTACGAGCTTACAAAAGCGGTCAAGGATAAGCGACTTCAAAAAGGAGCATGGCCATATTTTTTCCCGCGTCCGGCAGTCTCTGTACAGTTTGACCCGAGCCCGCCAGCCGCCGGCGCCGACGAGATTTCGATTCCAGCCGATCCTTATATCCACATCGGTATGGAGTCGAGCAACGGATCGGCTTTGGTGAGCAATTCAATGGTGCTCGCCGGCGAAATTGCGGCGCGCTGGTGCGCGGACCGACAGATTAGTGTGCCGTACCGGCGAGATGCCTACATGGGCGCGCATCATGCCGAGGCGCTGGCCTTTGCGCAGCGGGAACTGTATCCGCTCATCGCGCGGGGTATCGAGCCGAGCATGTCGCAGCGGGTGGAGCTGGGACGGTTCACGGGAGGCATTGAGCTCGCGGCGCAGCCTGGGCCGTACTTTTTGCTGGGCCTGGGCATGTACACCAAGGCGACGTCGCCGCTGCGGCGGTACGGCGACCTGCTGGTGCACTGGCAGGTGCACGCGGCGCTGGCGCACGAGCGGGCGACTGATGGGCGACGGCTGGCGGTGGACGAGATGGACGAGGTGCTGGCGTTCTCGCGGCGGCAGCTCGCCGACACGCTGCCGCTGCTGCAGCTGCGCGAGAAGCTCGGACGGGCGGTCAGCCGGTCGGCGTCGGACTGGATGTTGCTGGCCGTGGCGCGCGCGTGGCGGTACGATGGGACGCTGCCGTCGCGCATCGTCTTCACGGTGGACATGCGGCTGCGCGAGGGCCTGCTCGGCCACCTGGACTTGTTTGGGCTCGACGCCATCATGGACGTTGACGGCCTCGACGGGCGCGCGCTCATCAAGGACGTCGGCATAGCCGAGCGCTTCGAGGTGGCACTGACCGACGTCAACGTGCACGCAGGCCAGATCATGGTCCGGGCACTGCGCCGTCTCAGTCCAACGGCGGCCGCAGCTGAGCAGAGTGTCGACGATGGCCTGCGGACCATGGCGCAGTGATACTACTAGTATCAGCACCCCCTGGTACACTAGGCTGATAGGCAAACTGGTTGCATTGAAAGCGCTAGTCAGGCATCGTCACCTGGTCCAGGGTCCAAAGGTTGTTGTCATGGGGCGGCAACGTGACGATATCTCCCCAACAAAAAAAAAAGGCAATCAAGCTTTCTAAAGGCAACCATTGGTCCGATTTTCATGCTTTACCGCAAATCAGAAATCGCCACTGGGGACGGCATGACGTTTTCTCGACCAGAACATGAAGTAGGGCATCAGGTGACCACTGGCCCCCGATAAAAGAAAACTGGGGCCACAGGGGGGGTTGAACAAAAACCTAACCCAACTGGAAGGTATTGCGCGGGGGAGGGGCCCCTCCCCTGCTCTGCCCCGTGGGGAGAGGGGTTATCACTGCACAGTTTCAACAGCACTGTATCATTCGTCGATTTGAACAGCATTTACAACGGGATATGTTTTGCAACAAGAAAAAAAGGCACATGTAAGAATAGAATAGACTAGGAGTGTACACTAAAATGTATTATAGCTACCTGTATCAATTCACTGTTATCGCAAATAGGCCTGCTTCGTTTCATCCTCTGCTGTACCCGATAAAGCTCCCACAACAACACCCTCCTTGGGGTTTGGGGGTGGGCAGATGGAACAACGATATCGACCCCACGGTTATGCAAGGCCCTGATCACGCCCAGCCAAAGGGAGGGGGGGCCAGGCAGATGCCCTCACGAATGGCCCACGCAAGCAAGGCGCGTACGCATCCATGTGCAACCTCGTATCACTCTCAATATGAAAAAAAAAAAAGGTCGGTGAGAAAGAGCAGCGTTGGTCTCTGGCTAGTGTCAGGTACGGCGGCCTGAAGCCAAGGCAGTCCAAGAGATGCAGCACATGTAGTTGGACATCTTCACCTACGAGACGTAACAAGACCGCGCAGCAAGGCCATCTCATTCATAGCCTGCTAACGTCTTTGAATGATGCAATAATCAATGCCGCTTTGTATTCAACAAGCAAAAAAAACCTGCGCCACGCCTTGGACAAGGGACCAAGTTCCCCGCACCTCAACAAAAATAAAAATGGTAATACTAATAGAGACAAGCCAAATACAATCAACCAAGAAAAAAAAAATGCGCGTGACCGCCACTTTGCTCTTTTTTTTTCTAGGGCTCCTCTTCCACAGACCGCTCTGCAACCAAACCCTGTTCGTGTGTCCTCCTCTTTCCAGTAAATGAGTATAGTATCCCTGGGGTGGTTGTCTTTTGATCGTTCTGTGTGTCCCGTAATCGTAAAACGTGCCATGCCATCGACTGAGTTTGTCGTCTTCTCTGGTCGCAGAAATATTCCAGTTCAAGGCAGAGAGGGTGAGAAAACAAATAGTAGTAATGTAGACAGGTGGCTGCCGATATGCTACCGTAACCAAACACCAAAATGAATGAGATAAAATGAGTAAAAATAAGATAGACCAGCCGCTTCGCCGAGCTCGATTTTGTGGTATCCAAGACGGAAAATGAAAATGAAGATGAATAAGGGAAAAGTCGTAAGTGTGCATGCAGGCCGTTGAACCGCACATGAATATTAAGGGCCGCCTTTTATGCAGCATCGTCAAGACATGCCAAACTAGGCATTTCATTTTCTCCAGCCCACGTTCCAGATGACGTGAGCAATATCCCGTGCCGTATTGACGGTATCAATGACACGACCAATGATGCCCTCGCCGGTGGGGTTCTCACCAGCCTCGTAGGGCATCAGCATGCCCGATGATGTACGGTGCAGGCCGCTCGACTCAGTCGGTGCGCTCTCCATGGGTGGTGAGCGCCAGCCGGAACCAATCACCGAAGTGTCGTTGTCCTCGTCATCTTCCTCTCCAAAGTAGAAGCGGTTAGCCTGTTTGGTTGGGCGAAGCGTCTCTTGTGAAGATGACGGTGACAAAATCGGGCTGCGGCTGTGCTTCATGGCCGTCTCCAGAGGCTCTGGCGTGTCCCCACGGTACTTGAGCGTCGTCGGGGGTAGTGTGGCAATCGTCTCACAGCCGGCGCTGCGCTTGCTCTTGATCTTGCGAGCGGGGATGCTGCGCTTCTTGGATTTAACCCGCTTCATCATAAAGCCGTCATCGGAATCGCTGTCCTGTTCGCCATCATCGAACGCCTCCATGCCAATATCCTCGTCATCGCCCTTGATCTCTACGGCGATACACTGTTCAACCTTTTCATTAAAGTGGATGTGCTTGCGCTCGTTGCAGGGCGATGACAGACCTGACGAGTCTATTGATTCGGCAGTGCTGTTGCTAGTGACGCTCAGGTGACGAGATGATAGGGGAACGGCAATATAGTCGTCCGGCTTTGACTTGTTAGTCAGTATGCCTCTGCGCTCCTGGGCATGGACCGCCGCAGCCGCCTGCTTAAGGAGGGAGGCGGAGAGAATAGAACGCTGTAGCATAACTTCCGACATGCTTCTCTTCTTGAGAATAGGCTTCTTTTGCAAGTTGATGAGAGAGTCAGTTTTGGACAAGGCAGAGCTGCAGGGTTCGGTGTGGGTGCCATATAGATGCCCGGGCTTGCACTGTAAAGGTCCGTAAAGCCATGTTACATCACAGTCCTTGAGCCTTGAAGATGGTTAGGAGGGTTGTGTAGCCTGGCGACGTGTCGACTTACCAATTGAGGGACTCTGGGGAAATGGTCTTGAGGTTGTGCTTAGCCTTCATCCAGGTCCGCCACGAAGCATTCTCGAGACGGGCCGAGTTGGCTACCTCGCCCCTGCGGGTAACAATGTAGCGCCACGAGGTCCAGATGTCCTCTTCCTTCCAGTCGTGAGAGAGGTAGTCGACCTGTCTCGAGGGCTTGCTAGCAATGGTGGTATCGTCCTCGGCGTGCTTGGCGAGCTCGGGTGTTTCAGGGCGAGAGGTGCTCTCTGACGAGTCGTCGACGGCGCAGTAGGATTGGGCGGAAGGGGCCTTGTCGACGGCGCCATCGTCTTCGTCATTGTCGTAGCCGAGATGGGGATGCATGTAGTACTTTTCATCTGAAAAGGGCGGTAGTCCAAAGTGATCCTCAGGTGAGTCGTCGAGGGGCGGAGCGTCATCAAAGTCGGAGGCTATTGAGAGATTGGTGGCGGGGGTAGAGGAGTAAGAGAGATCGGTCGCTTCGGCATGGATTGTTCTGGGTGATGAGGGTACAGAAGAGGCGTCGGATTCAGAGGAAGACTTGGAGGAAGGGTCGTAGCTTGAATGAATCTTGTTTGTCGAGGTGCTGAAGGTAGACGGGTCGAACTTTGTTTGGGAAGCAGAGCGCCGCAGGGAAGACGACGAAAAGTAATTGTCTTCTGAAGAAATAACGACAGCCATGGCTGGAAGAGCGTTGCAGACGTGATAATGCGTCGGGTTCAAGCGTAGACGGGTGAGGCGGAAGGATTAGAGAATCATTGGAGAGCGTCGACACAGGGCCGGCGGCCGCACAAGTGAGGTATGTCCGTGTGTCGAGAGGTGCAAACAGGCAAGATAACAAAAACGTCGCGCGTGGGCGTCTGAGACGGGGATGATAAGCCGGTTTGCGCCAGAGGTGACGGTGTTGTAGGACGTGTGCTTCTACAGGCAAAGAGAAAGAGGTCGTTCGAGTGGTAGTAGAGTGGTAGAGTTGTAGTAGCGTGTATGCAGGCTGTGACGCACGGCGCAGCGACGGGGGTGTGTTTGTTGGTGTTGGTGTTTGTGGAGAAGTGGTGTCGGCTAGAGGAGACTGGAGAGAAGAATGGTGTCGACAAACGAGAGAATGGGCGATGGCCGGGGGGGATTGGGAGAGATGAGAAGAAATAAGAGGAAGAAGAATTAGAACAAGAGAGGTGGGAAGAAGCAAAAGAGTTTGCAGGAAAGGGTCGGTAGGCGAGAGTTTGAAGAGATTTCGGGGGCGCGGGCTACGGGGGGGTTCCGGGGGAGAGGGGGGGGGGTTGTTGAGGGAGGAGGCAAGGGAAGGAGCCAAAAAGCGGCACACGGGGTGGCACTGACATTGTGGCAGAGAGGCGCTGGGGGAAGGGCTGGGGGAAGGTGTTGGGAACCTGGAGAGGCAAAGTGGTACCTGGGAAGCTGCAGGCGGAGCTGAGGGCTGAGAGGTACCTTGGCGTGGCGTGCCAGCGTGGGCACGCGTGGCACTATGGACGGCTGGCACAGCACTAAAACAGGGCCTGGAAGCTGCCGTAGGCTGGAGGGAGAGGAGAGAGGAGGGGGGTGGCCGGGCGCGCCAGGATAGGGGACAACTACAGTGGGGTGAGGCCTGGGCTAGACCGCCGCCATCTGGGCACTGGGCATTTGCCAGCGGACGACCAAACGGCACCTGTTTAGAAACTGGAGACGGAGGCTAGTTAGGACCGGGTACCGGTACATGGAGGACCAGCCTGGAGCATCAAGGATGGACGGCTTCTTTTTTTCGGCACTAGTTGGGAGTGATCAAGTGTTGGATGTGCAGCCAGAACCATGGCATGGACATCGTGGGCAGCGAGTGGTGAAAGGTTGGACTGGCTCGTAACGTGCGCTGGAGCGATGTGTGGGTGGGCCAGCATTGTACACCGTGTTAACGGTTGAAGCCACTGTACGTAGTGCACTGTACAATGTTCTATCGCACGCAGAGTGGCACACTGGCCGATTCTGCTTGCACCAGCCGTGTCTCCGGATGCCTGGCAGTTGGTCGTAGCCGGCTGCAGGCTGCAGCTTGCGGTAACTTGGCGTATGCAGCCTAGCTGTACCTACCTAACCTACAAATTACAGAACGGCTACAAGGTCGGACGCGAGGGCGTGAGCGTAGTTAGCGCGGCCGGCGCATCGCATGATGGACCATGAAACTGATAAAAGGCAACATGGCCAAGTCTTCCTGGCTGGCGTGTAGGAAGCCTCAGACCAATTGTCTCGTATGTTGCCTTGTTCTCGTCCTTTTCGATGCAGCGTGCGTCAAGCGTGTACTTGCAGGCTTTCCCCAGCGTACCCTGGTGCCCTGTAAAAAGAAAAAAAAAGTGTTCAGTCGGGCACACACCACACTCCCCGGAAGCGGGGAATCCTGGCTGCAAACGAAACCGACCAAATGGGTTTGCCTGACTCGCTTGTCGCCTACTATCAGCACATCAGGGTTCAAGCACAACAAGGACGACACGACTACAAGTGGACAAGATCATGAGGAATCATTCACCATCGGCTACTTTCTTTCATCATTTGTACGATTTTAAATGCTTCCGCGCCTTGGCCTCGTCTTCCTCTTATTCGCAAGCCTCTATGGATCGCAACACTTCCGCATAGCCCCAGTTCGGCATGGGCGCTAGGCTTGGTCAGTTCGCGACCAGCCAAAAAATAACACCGAGAAAATAACTAGTTTAGGCTAGCAGGGATAGTTAGGACGTTCCTGATGGAAATTCTCAAAAGAAAAAAGAAGCGGTTTTTTTTCTTTTGCTTCTCCTTGCATCCTCTAATTGTTATTCGTCCCCTGGCATGGCTGGTATGGTGAGCACTCTCACCTGTGCTCTGCTGCAGGCTGGCGGGGCTTGCCGGCCCTCCGAGAAGAGAGAGGCTCGCTTTGCCACGGCCTGCCAGTGTACCTAACTTATTGCCAATCGTGGCTAGCTAGACACACATGCGCGGGAATAATAGGTAGTATCCGCTGTTGAAAATTCTGCTTTGTGCCATGACGCTGTGAGATGAACTCGCTTCTTTCCCGTCTTGGTGAGCTTTGCTTGAGCTCTCCCTTTTTCCTCTTCGTTGTTGTGTTTTGGAAGTTGGGCTGGCTTTGGCGTCAACTTGGCTTTTGACAGGAATGTCCAACGAGAAGTCCCAACAGCAAAACGCGTACATTTTGTCACGTTTCGTCCTGTGGCTTGGTTATTGCTTCGACATGCCACCGTTGGATACCAAATAACATTTCTCATCCCATTTATTATAGCGGCGGGGACGAGGGGCGGCGGCGGGTGGCGCATCTGTCAGTGAATCCAGAAACTGTATAGGTACCTACAGTGGGTGTAGGTGCCTAGTCACAACGACATGTGCCTCATTCTTTGGCAGTCCTGGGCATATTATTCTATGTACCACAAGCCCAAAACACGCAGCAAGTCCTCGGCCGGGTCCATCTCATGTTTTTCTTTGCCTCGGCGGGGCAACATGCAAATTTTCTACATGTACCTACCTAGTAGCTGCATCCTGCAGCCTCGTCTGCAGTCCCGTTGTCCTCGATGCCTCGACTTTGGTGGTTGGCACTATCCGTAGAGATGGTGTGCTATAAATTATGAATAATACAGGACCCTACAGGACCCTTTAGCGCCTGCCTCCACTGAGGTAGACCCTGTAAATCGGCAGTCTACAGCGGCTCCTCACCGGCCATGGAGCTCCGATCCACTGAAAGCAGCCCCCCTTCCGTCACAGCCTTGATTGTCCAACTTGGCATCCCACTGGCATCCCACCTCGCAACTCCAACTCCTTCTTCTCCTTCGTCAATTCTTTCTCCATCAACCATCTCCGCTGCAACGGACAATCACGACATCGACCAACCCCGGCCTGTCATCTCTTCCCACCCCTGAACACGATCTCCATCCAGACGGCCCTCCTAGAGCGCTGCTGCTGTGCCCACAAACGTCAAGCCATGCTCGGACCAACTATCTCGATTTTCATCGTTTTCCGTGTTCCGACTCCCGTCACCCTCTTCTTTCAACATTTAACTAAGTTAGCCCGCCTCTGCACCAATCTACCATGACTAGCCTCCGATTTTTCCCTCAGCCAACTCGCCTCACTTCCATTGTGATAGCCGCTACGTGCTTGTTGCGAGCACATTACCATCACATCACTCCGGCTTGCACCATCGCTCCATAACTGCCCACCCTCGGGCTGCAATTATCCGATTCGCACGCGACACGCCAGAAGCCCCAGAAGCCCCAGTTCTGCATGCATGTCATCTGTACAATGTCTGTTATTTACACTGCATTTGTCTCCGGTGAAGCACGACCTTGCGTGATCCACCTGCCCGTATTCCTCGGTAGGCGGGGCCGTGGTGTTGCTCACCAGGCCCCGATTTCTCCCGCAATCGCCTCACTGCAAACTGTTCGGACGATGGCTGTTTCTTTTGCCTAGTACATATCATTGTTGCTATCTTGCTATCGAGAACCGCTTCTTTTGCTCAGACGATACCCCTCATTTTACGCGCTACTCACACGTCATGTCCAACAAAGGGTCCTTGATACCACCCTCTTGGCAGCTAACACCTGTACAGACATATACACCACACGTACAGCGTCACATTGGCTCGATTTAATGAAAAGGCGGTGCATCTTACCCAGGCTTCCAAGGCAGCGACACGTTGGCCAGTTGGCCAGCTAGAGGGAGCCCAGGCACCATTGTGTATGGCTTATTACTGACTAGGCCTGCGCCAGGCACACCAGACTAAACTTGCGTGTTGTGCCAATGAATGGTGCCATGCCGCCCCGTGTGAGGTTGTGGCTGTCAGTGTTGCGCTCAACCTACAACCTAGCGCTTCTCACCGCCAGTGCCGAGTCGTCCATCCGGATGGCAAGAGTAACTAGTGGCCAGATGGATTCTAAGTGGCAGATGACACCAAGACTTGCTGTACAAGCTTTGCCAGTTGTCGGAACTGATACTCTAGGCAAAGCTTCTAAGCCAAGCTTCTTGACAAGGCTTCTCGACAAAGCTTCTCGACAAAGCTTCTCAGAAAAGCTCGTAGCAAAGGTACCCCCCTCGGTGGCTCGATGCTCTTGCTTCCCGTCGGTAGTGGAAAAGAGGCATGAACGGGATTGCGATTGGACCTCTTTGTTTCGTTGCAAGTCGCCGTCGTGGCTTGTTGATCGTCGCAAAGGCTAGCCTCCAACCAGTCTAGACAGCCACGGCGAGCGAGAAAGCGCTCAGCCACAGTATCCAGCTTTGCGCCAATCGTGATGGATTACAAGTGCATTTGCAAACAGGTCGAGAGTAAAAGGACGTTGACCAGAGAGTCATGCTAACTGGAACCAAGAATAGCAATCCACCGATGCCATGTTGATGTGCATAGAATCCACTCTTCAACTCCGCTTATACCTTGATTGATATTCTCAGACCCATGACCGGTTTCTTGATATGAAGATTCGACAGGGCGACAGTCTGGCGCCGGGATAGCCTTCATTCGATGTACGCGTACGAGATAAAATAGCAAAGAGGTTGGACCCAGCAGCAACCGGTATTGAAGCCTACCTTTTGAGGAAAAAGAAAGCTATTGGATGAAATGCCAACCTATGAGAGGTATGAGCCTCTTCGCCCGGCCCCTCTACGTATTGAGCCTTGCATATTTTAAGGTCTGGGTGGCGCTACTAACGACATGGATGGCCTGCATGATGTGGTGAGTATGATGATACAGTTGGCGCCGGAGCCAACCTAACTAACTAGTTTATTGCAGTTTTCTCTGCCGTAGTTATAGCTTCCCTTTGGCTCTAACTAGTTACCTACATAGATGGTTACAAGGCGGCACACAGTCTCTAGAAGTAGAGGTTGTTGTGACGCACGGCTGGCAAAGCTAGCCCGCGCCTGAAACCGCTGACGGCTGCTTGAGCAATATACCAATATACCGCAATGGATGCAAAACGGTCCATTCGCCTTGTACGCAATTGGCATGCACGCAGTCGCCATCCAGACCAAGGCCACACCCCCCCCTGCATCGCCAAAGGAACGCCCCCCTCCTCCCCGCTGGGGAACAAGAGCAGCGATGGAACGGCACCTGAAGCCGCACACCTCGTCGACGGTGGAGTCGATGGGAGCGCGATGCGGTCTCGATGAGCAAAGACAGAAGCAGAGGCAGAAGCAGCAGCAGCAGCAGCAAGGCCATGACAATGAGGGGTTTTGCCATCTGTCCATGTGGATTGTGGCGTGTTTCCGTTTGCGTGCATGTACCTGTACCGTATCAATGGCTGGTGTTCCATAGTCGGCGGCACGTTCGGTTTCTCTTCTCTCTCAAGTCTGGACTCGGGCTTTACTTGCCATGGACTTGGCCATGTATGTATGTATGTATGCATGCATGTATGTACTCTATCTATGCGACATGATATTGAGGCGCAAACTAGCGGGGAGGGGGGGGAGGCTTGATAGGCAGTTCGTGTAATGTGTGTGTGTGTCTGTTATCTTTTTTAGCACACACGCCACTAGTTGCGGGATACCAGACCAAGTCGGCCCGGTCGGTGCGAAGGAGGGAGGGCTACCAGTAGATAGGCCACCTGTTTTTTTTTTTTTTGACGTATCATGATAAGACAAAAAGAGGCAGATTGGCGCCGTACTAACCGCTCCGATGTGCGGAACCACGGCTTGAAAATGCGGAGCGACGCGCGTAGATGACCAAAAAAAAAAGATGATTGATTGGCAAGTTGAGTTGATGACGGGTGGTGATGCGACACGACGCGGGGGAAGCCAAGTCTGTCTCTCTCTCTCTCCCACACAGCCTCGCGGATTGCGTTGTCAACGCCCAGCTCCTTCGGGCAGGACGACTGTAAAAAACGGGCCGTGGGACCATTTTACATCTGGGGCCGCCGATGAATAGCTTCCGAGAGCTTGAGATGGGGCAAGGATTCTTCTGCCAATGGCCCCAGCTGCGGGAACCATGGATGCATGTCCAATATTGGACGTCGAACCCGAAGCACGCGTCGAGACGTGCATGAGTCCATCTTGACGGTTCCATCTTGCTTGAAACGGAAAGTAGTGCATGGTAGTACCAGCTGCAAAGCATTCTATATGGTACAGGACGTGTAAATATCTTGTAGACAATTTTTGATTCTTCAGAGTTCAGCCCCAATGTCTCACTGGAAAGTCTTGTTCAATCTCATATGTATCTCGCCTCCCGTCATTGGAAAGTGCCAGGTTCAACACCTCGTCCATGAATGGTAAAACAGACCCGGCGTCGCCAATGTCTACCAACGTCTGCCATATCCGGTTCGCCCATCTCCAACGCTTCCTTCCCAGCCGGGCACCTCGCATCCTCAAACGATGCCGGGAGATCAACCCGACCCGCGTCGTTGAAATCTACGACAACCCCATCACGGTCCGGCGTGCGCTGCTCCGCTGAATGCCACCTTGCTGGTATACGATGGACATGGACCGTACTGGTCGACGACTGGGACCGTGTCGTTGCAAAACATCGACCGAGACGCCCCCTCGCCTTGCGACATTATCAGACCAGACAGCCAAGAGACGAGGACCACATTCGACACTGGCGGCAGGGTGGAGGGAGAGAGATAAGAGAGTCCGCTTCCTATACCGCGAATATGACAGACAAGCTGCGGACAACCCCCGGTGTCTTTCAACGCATCGAGTTTGACATGGATATGGACGTTTTTTTCAACATGACATTCCACTGCGCGAGAGACTGGTTGATGCATTGGGTCCCAGCAACAGAGGATCAGCTGCACAGATCAACGCCGGACATGGCACACCGGTTCCGTCTGCCTCTCCCCTCCCTCACCGCCGCGACAGGCCACCTGCCTACCGTGGCCGCCGTGACCGGTTCCCGGACGCCTGCCGGATCTCGAAACGTTGGTTTGCGTGAGCCACCAGGCCCCTTGCACGTCAAACCCCTCCGCGCCGCTTGCAGGAGCTGGTTCTGCGGCCCTCTCGGCACCTTGCACAAGACCCGGCGTGCAGCACTGGGGCAGCCAGCACTGGGACAATGGCGATGGCTATGGAGGGAGACGGGACGGGATGGCGAAGAAGGACGGAGATGGGGTTCAACTTGACTAGTGGGGGGCGAGAAAAAGGTGCCACGCGATAGGTACTTGGGTTATTCTGGGGTTGAGCACGGCCCGTAGGGATGAATAACCTGCCAAGCTGGGTAGGGGGACGGCATATCAAGTCCTGTCTCTAGCAAGGTCACGAATCAAGGGTTCCGACTGGATTGTGCAGAGAGTCCAGGGAGTATGCGCCTCACACACACTCTCGCACACACACATCGGCGTCGAAACCGGCGACGCCACTTCTCTTATCGGGCCCAAGCAGTGGCTGCTGCTGCGGAACGGGAAAAGCTTGGCCATGGGGGCTCGCATCGCATGCAGCAGGCATGTCGCCGCGACATTCACACATTTTCTTGCAAGGAACCAGGTTCCGGGCAATGCGCCGGCCTTCAAAGGTCGGGGGAAACTATATTCAAGACGTGGCTGCAGCTCATCCAAGCACGCCCCCCCTCCCCATTCCTGCCCACCGTAAAGGGTACGTCCGTAGTTATTACGTGCGCTCTACTATGGTTCTATATCCAATCTCCCCATTTATAAAAAAGCTCCAACATGGCTTTATATCAGGCGGCTGGCCCTTATCTCGGTCGAGACTGTCCGCCGTCCGGCGTGATCAAGCACCGGCATTGTCCTGCATCGGAGAACCGCCCAGTTCTCTTTTCCACGGACACAATGCAGCTCCATGCACCGATGCTCCTATGATCGTCCCTTGTATCACCAAAACTGCCCATGTCTGACGATTGTCGTGGTCGCGTGCCACCGCCAAAAGGCCAATGCGCGTGGTTATCGCACCATTCTCTGCTCGTACTCCGACAGCTCACAGCGCGTAGATGCCGTCTCTTTGCTTCCTCCTGCACTCCGCACCGCCCGTAGATCCTCGCCATATTCCCGTACATGGCAAATGCGGTTATCTGCTGTTTTCACCGTAGCCGCCATCTCTCTCTTGCCCGACCCCGCCAGATTGTGAAGCTCTGGGCTGGTACGGCCCAGGTAAACGACACACATGTACTTTGATCCAACCTGTACCCCCCCTTAAGCCAGTAGTTATGAGAGAGCATGTTCGTTCGCTGCACCAATTATCCAAGTTCTCCGCGTTGAAAAAACGTACTTCGTAGCATCGAACCCGCCCCATCCATACAGGCGCATGCAAAGAAGAGTGCGCCTCAAGAGCGAGGGGCAAAGGCCACCGACGGCGGGACGCGGAAGCTGGCGCAAAACATGCGCTTCGCCGGGGCCACGTCGCGCACCTCGTGAATTGAGACCTGGCCGTCGACCTCGGCGTCGCCCGGCACCAGCCGGACGCCAATCTCCCTCTCGATACGGTCACAAATGTCGTCTAGCGGCGTGGCATCGTCGGCCTTGACGGCGAAGCAGTGCGCGTGAACCAACGGTAGCCGCGTGTCCGTGTGCGGCGCAAACAGCGCCTCCTCGTCGTGGTAGATGCCCCGAAAGTTGTGCAGAAACTCGAGCGCCGACGCCGGCAGATTCATGACAAAGTGCGCGACGGTCGGCGGCAG